GCACATCAAATGGTCGGCAGGCCATTTTAGGGCTTGAATTAAAACTCGTGCTGAGGGCTCGAGCTCTTGCAAATCCAGCCAAGGACAAAGGACTAATGCAAGCCTCAGTCCCTCCAGCCAACATGACATCAGCATCGCCAGCCGCAATAAATCTAAAGGAGTCTCCAACAGCATGTGCGCCTGTGGTACACGCAGTTGACACAGCATGATTCGGCCCTTTCAGTTGGTATTTAATGCTGATCTGGCCTGCTGCCATATTGACTAAAATCTTTGGGACAAAGAATGGGCTGACCTTGTTATAACCCTTTGTTTTAAATAAAGCGGCTGTATCAGAAATCTCTTCCAGCGGAACCATTCCCATCCCAATTGCCACACCAGCACTTAGGCGATCCTGTTCAGACTGGGGAGACCAGCCAGAGTCTTTCATTGCTAGCTCTGCTGCACCGATGGCCATAACAGTAGCAGAACTCATGGATTTGATCTCTGACTTTGACACAAAGCTTTCTTCACTGAACTGACCCTCCTCATTTCCCCTTGGCACGCAAGCAGCCACTTTACATGGGACACCTGCATATTCTTCCCCGTCTAGCGATGCAATCCCACTGTCTCCTTGGAGAAGGCGCTTCCACACAAACTGAGTCCCCACACCAAGAGGGGACACTAAGCCAATACCTGTAACAACTACTTTCCTTCGATATGCAGGTAGTGACTTGCTGAAAGCTCTTCGGTGGTTTTGTAAATGCAGATTTAAATTCAGACTTCGGAGATGAAGATTTGCAATCTTTAATAGATCCCGCGAGCACTGTGAGAACATGGTGGAAATCAATCACTTCAAGCACATTCCTGTAACTGGCGAGGAAAAAGACACAAACAGAACAATAAAGCAGCCAACGTGAAAAACATTCCAAGTATGCAAAGTTAATAACCTGCTTTTTACACGAAAGCCTATTTTCAACCCTGCAAGAAAGCAATGTAGTTTCCACATCTGAAATCAGGAGTGGTATGTGTTATTGCAGACAGGGCATAGAAACACGTTCACCTTGTGAAGGCCTCTAGTGGGCTCTTCTCACTTAGGCTGCTAATGAATATGACTTTGCACCACTGGGGACTGCACGGCACTCTTTGGTTTGGCCACAAAACTCCCCCTGGGGCTTTAACTACTAGGTGGCTGGACATATTAACAAATGAGCATTAACAGCTCTGTTCTTCTGAGGGAAAAAGCGTGCAGTCACCTCAAAGCGTCATGTCCTACCATTACCACGTTAAGCATGTCATCATCTCAACCTTTACATCACGCTAGAATGGTCTAGAAAACTCCGAAGCAGTCAAGGAACTCTTCCTGGTTCTGTCACCAAAGCAATTACAGATCTTGCACAAGACTACCAACTTTCTACCTCCACCCACCCTTTTATCAGCCTTGGGGTGTCAGGGGACACGGTACCTCAAGCGCGCCTGAGCCTGATGCACCATGACACCACCAGCCCCCACCTACGGCGAGCCCTGAGGAGTGACTAACGCCGCTGCCGCCCACAAGCACGTCAGGCGGCAGGAGAGGCAAATTCCCCCCAAGGAACGCATTTACCTGACCCATGTTCATGTAACCATTAAAAAAAACCCAAAACAAACAGAAAACTCCAAAACACCTCTCCCCTCCCCCCCCCAAAAGAAGAGATATTCACTATTTCTCATTTCAGCACTACGTTGTCTAGATCAGTTTCATTCAAAATGCACGCGTGTGTGTGATAGATCATGAAACACCGGTAATCTTGTCAACATGTAAAACATTCGGACTCCGTAACATCGATTTCTTTCTGCGTAGCAGACTAAAGACTGCGTTTTGCAAGGCAGAGAAGACCAGCGCTTTGGGAGGGCTGCGGAGGGACGGGACCCAACACCCAGCTCCCCAGTCCCCCTTTACCTGACCTCAGGGCGCCGTAGGCCCGGTAGAAAAGGAACACCGGATCGCTGCCCAGCCGCCCCAGCGCCTCATCCGCCGCAGCCCGGACATGGTGGAAGTAGCCTTCTTGGCAGTAATAATTGAGCAGGGCCTGCGGGAGAGGCGGCCTATGTTCACTCATGCAAACGCTTCACCCCGGGACGGCAGGAGACCGCGCGGCCCGGCCCGGCCCGGCCCGGCCCGGCCCTGAGGTTGCCGGTGCAGCCGTAAGTAGAACTGGAAAAGGCAGGGAAATCACTTCCTCCCCCAAAACCACGCGTTTAAAACACGCAAAAGAAGAGTCAAAAGAAAAACAACAAACAACCCACAAAACTAAAAAGCTCCAAACCCACCCCCGGTCTCAGTGGAATAATACGGCAGAGGGTAACGCTGCGGTCGTGAGGGAAACCGTGGCGTTTCCCATCGGGTTCCTTAATGCCGCGACACTCTTCAGCAGAGAACTGCCAAAACTCCTGCCGTTAACGGCACCTCACGGTGTCACCGAGGGCCGTCACACGCACGTGCAGGAGGCGCTCCTTGGGGGCGTTGCAGCCTCTTCCAGGCCCATTTTGTGTTCCACCATAACGAATTCCCCGGTGGAGTGTTCCCGCCTGCGCTTTGTTCTCCTGCTCCGGTCCCATCCCCCGTCTGGTCCCGGTTCTGCCATCTGCACCCCTCACGTCGCCATCCTCCAGCAGATCCCACCTATGCTGTCACATTCCTGGGTGAAGCGTGCTCCTCCACGCAGAGGCTGAGGTGCTGGTAGAGAAGACAGTAAGAGGCAAACCAAGACAAGTTGATCACTGACCTTAACAGGAGTGTCTTGAACATACATGCACAAATACACCAACAGCACACAAAAGTGAACGGTTTGTTGTTGCTGCTTCCAGATGCAGAAACCATAGGGCCTGATCTGAACGAAGACCAAGCTGCTAGCTATGCCAGAGATGATGTGTAGGCACAATTAAGTTTTCAGTTGAGAAAAACAGTGGCAGCATACTTCAAATACATGAAGTCCAGGAGCTATCATGGCAGAGCATAAAATGTGTGCCAAAGACTCATCAACAAAGACCTAAAGCACCTACTGCAGGAAGACAAAAACAAAAACGTGCCAAAAAGGAGGAAAATGCAAAATCAACACTTGCATATTTTTTATTTCTTTTTAATGAAGATGTATTTCATTTCCCTTTAGAAACACTATTCCTCGGACATTTAAGGTGTTAGTAATTTGTTGGAAGTTGACAGTTTGTTCTCTTATTTTTCCACACCACTTTGCTATGAGCACTTCCAAAGCAGCATTTACAAATGCTATGCTTAAAAGCAGTATTTACAAATGATATATACATCATGTACTTACGTTACACATACAGCAATATGGTTAATCTTTAAATTTGAGAGGGCAGACAAGAGTCACATGCCTATATGAAAAGCATGGAAAATAAGTTAAAAGCTGAAGCAGCTGCCAAGGAACATGGCATCATCTTAGATAAATTTTATTACTTTGGTACCAATTCCATGATTTTGGGGGCTGAATTAGTGACTTTTAAACTGCACTAGTAGGAATAATAACTGTAATCTCAGCAAAAGTGAATTACCTTGGGTTAAATCTCAGCTTTTGTAAGCAATAGGTACCATCTTCTTAAAAAATCACAGAAGCTGAGCAGAGTGACCTGTCAGAAGCAGACAGCAGCGGTAGAGCTGTCAACTAATAATCACAAGCCAACCTGAATTTTAAAGACCTCTTTTACTTGGAACTCTTTAAATCTTAGAATCATAGCATCATGGAATGGTTAGAGTTGGAAAGGACCTTGAAGATCATCTAGTTCCAACTTCCCTGACATGGGCAGGGACCCCTCCCACTAAACCAGGTTGCTCAAAGCCCCATCCAACCTGGCTTTGAACACTTCCAGGGATGGGGCATCCACAACTTCACTGGGTAACCTGTTCCAGTGTCTCACTACCCTCAAAGTCAAAAATTTCCTCCTAATATCTAATCTAAATTGATCGTCTTTCGGTTTAAAACCATTACCCCTCATCCTATTGCTTCACTCCCTGATAAAGAGTCTCTCCACCTTTCCTGTAGGCCCCCTTTAGGTACTGGAAATCCACTATAAGGTCTCCCTGAAGCCTTCTCTTCTCCAGGCTGAACAACTCCAACTCTCTCAGCCTGTCTTCACAAGAGAGGTGCTCCAGTCATCTGATCTCTTTGTGGCCCTCCTCTGGACTTGCTCCAGCAGGTCCATGTCCTTATTATGTTGGGGGCCCCAGAGCTGGACACAGTACTCCAGGTGGGAATCTCACCAGAGCAGCATACAGGGGGGTAGTCACCACCCTCGACCTGCTGGCCACTCTTTTGATGCAGCCCAGGAGGTGGTTGGCCTTCTGGGCCTCAAGCACACAGTGCCAGGTCATGTTGAGCTTCTCATCGACCAACAGCCCCAAGTCCTTCTCCTCAGGGCTGCTCTCAATCCATTCTCCACCCAGAGTGGATTCGTGCTTGGGATTGACCCAGCCCATGTGCAGGACCTTGCACTTGGCCTTGTTGAACTTCATGGGGTTCACATGGACCCACCTCTCAAGCCTGTCCTGATCCCTCTGGATGGCATCCCTTCCCTCTGGTGTGTCAACCACACCACACAGCTTGGCGTCATTGGCAAACTCGCTGAGGGTGCACTCAATCCCACTGTCCACATTGCCAACGAAGATGTTAAAGAGCACCAGTCCCAGTACCAACCCCTGAGAAAAGCCACTCGTCACTGGTCTCCACTTGGACACCGAGCCGTTGACCAACCCTTTTGAGTGCGGCCACACAGCCAGTTCCTTAAAATCTTACACTTGCAAGAAAGCAAATCCCCGCAGACCTTTTTGGCCAAGATTCTTGATCCCAGTTCTTTCCCCAGTAGCACAAACCGGACGTCTAAAGAAAGCAGAGACACAAACTAGGGGGTTTTACAGCTGCTGCAACATCCCGGGCTTCGGGCCCGCTCTGGCCCTTTAAGCTCCCCCGCCTTCCCCCCGCGTGGGGCGGGGCGGTGACCGCCCTCAAGCCCCGCCCCAACTGCGCATGCGCGCTGTCCCGCTCTCCTGGCGCAGCGCTGAGGTGGCGGCGGCGCTGCCCGATCGGGGCTGGGGAGGAGGAGGGGGCGCGGGCGCGGGCGCGAGGGCGGCCGCCGTGGGGCTCTCTTCCTCGCCTGCCTCCCCCGCCGGG